TGAAATACGACATAACTCAAACTTTTTCGAGTTGATTTTTGCCAACATAAACACAGCAAAAATTTGAAAATGAGTCGACACGAACACAAATTTTTTATATTGTATCAACAGGTCATGTTGAAAATTGTCACCCTTCATTATAATCATTGATTAAGAAATCAATAATTAAAATTAAGATAAAATACATATCTAGGCTAGATGTGGCAAAACGGGTCTAACTTATTGGGTTGACCCGTTTAACTTGCCACAAATGGCGGGTTGAGTTGAGATTTTCAATCCGCCAACCCGCTTAAGGATGGATCGAAATGGGTTCAAATTGTGGTGGGGCAAGTTGACCCAACGAGTTTTTTTTTTTTACATCTTTTTTATCTTCATTTGATACCTTTTATATTTATAGGAAGTATAATTTTTTAATAAAATTCTCTTTTTAAATATATTGGCGGGGCGATGTGGGTTGAAATTTTTAACCCATTTTTAAAAATGTGGCGGAACATGTTGGGTTATTTGAAGGCTGGGCGAGTTATAAGCTTTGCCATTTATAATCTCCACTTTACTCTTTAAGTTGCATCTCTCATTTTATAGGAGCCAAATTCCTAAAAACTATCTCAAAAACCATTTAAAAATGAAAAAAACAAAAACAAAAATTGCTTAACTCCTAATTATTATTATTTCTTTTAACTTGATTGCAAATACTTATATCCTTTACATTTTTTTAAACAAAGTGAATTAAAATAAAACGCAAAGTTTTATTGTAGTGAAATTAAGTAGATAAACTTGAAAACAGAGAATAGCGAATCATTCACTCATTAGTCATCACTAAACTGATATGTTCTTAAGAGTGGTAATTTTCAAACCCGACACAGTACGGTAAGATTATATTTGTGTTGGTATCGTGTCAATAAAAATTGATGGAAAATAATTGTGTCATGGTTATGTTAGGTGTATTTTTTTTTGTGTTGTGTTCATTCCGATCTGTAATTGATACATTTAAATTGAATACTTATATAATTACATATTTATCCTATTAATCCTGTTTTTGTTTATTAATTTGAAATTATTTATGTAATTTTTATTCTAAAAAGTATAATTGACGGAAATTTCGTGTTGTTCATGTGACGTATTAACGTGCATAGTAAATGAATTGTATTAGGGCATGTTTGGTGTGACGTGTAAGACATGATAGTATAAGCTTATATTATACGTTATGACATTTTTAGTTGTTTGGTGTGATCACCGTATAGTATAAGCTTATACAACATAATCCCTTAATACATCAAAACGATGTATAACTTAATCCGGCCTAAGGGTGAGAGATAAGACCTGATAAGAGATTGATGTATTAACATCGTTGACCAATGTAATTCCCAAAAATTAATATATTATTTTAATATTAATCTATTAAAATAAAAATTTATTTTTCAATATATTAATTTTTAAAATATTGAATATTTTTATTTTTATAAAAATTAATTTATATTTTGGACACACTGATCAATAAATTTTTATAAAAATTAATATCATATGACATTTTTTGAAGAATTATATAAATTCTTTATTAAAGGATATTTTTATTAAAAATATTTATTTTTATTATATATAGTATTATACAGTGCATTACCAAATATTAGATGATATTATCTTATATAATATATTATTTTATACAATACGTGTCAAACGCTTGATAGTATTAAAATTCAATCAGATCTTATACAACTAGGCTTTATCCTATACTATGCATCAAACATGCCCTTGCTGTCAAAAGTTTTAATACAAATAGCGCGTGATTGGATTGAGTATATTCATGTTCACAAGGATCCAAACACGATCTCCGAACCCAAATTGACACGATGCTTTTGTATGAAGAATGGAATAATTTTCACCTTTTCAGGAGAATTTTAACCATAAATTTTAACGGTAGAGATCATCGTGAAAGAAGAAAAACATTGCTTCTAAGAGCTTGCATTAATTGTTTTTACTAAACTGCACTGCCATTATTTATTTTTACTTGCATGTTGTTATTGACATTGGTATCTCCTAATTGTTTCAGAAGTGGCCCTGTACTGTACAACATAATGTTTTCTCAATGAGCAATGTGATATTACTTAAATAAATTATTATGTCGTTTCTCAATTACTTAAAACAAAATGTTAAAAAATTAAGACATTACTTTGCTCTAGAAATTTAAATAACATTTAATAATACCTTTTAAAAATAATTATTTTTTTCCTATTGTTGCAACCCAATAACCAACCACCAAATAAATAAATAATGTTTGGAGTCATTTTGAACTCGGGTTAGTAGAAATTGAAATATCTTTCAAAATAAGGTAGGCTCATTACCGTCAAAAGGCTAAGGAAAATATATATATATATATATATATATATATATATATATATATATAGGGGTAGATCCTTTGACACTAGTGTCAAATTTGAAATTTGACACCTCACTTAAGAGCCATTAGATTAAAAAAGATCAACGACTCTGATTTGTAAACATGTGACATATCAATTATAATATATATATGGCTTTAATATTTCTAAAGTGAATGTAGATAAGTTATCTACATTCGCTCCCAAAACGACGTTGTTTTTGATTGAAAAACTAAAAAATTATATTGAAAAAGACTATTATAACTCTGAAATTAATTATAATTACAAAAATACCTTGATTTCTGCCTCAAAATGACATCGTTTTGGACTCACTCTAGATAAGTTATCTACATTGACGGTAGAAAAAGTGAACCATATATATATTATAATTACAAAAACACCTTGATTTTCGTCTCAAAACGACGTCGTTTTGAGCTCAATGTAAATAGTGTAGATAAACTATCTACATTGACCGTAGAAAAAGCGAATCCATATATATATATATATATATATATATATATATGGGATTTGCATTCATCATTTAACATGACTACAAAAAATTTCTTACACACACAATATTTTGTGGGGCCCGCAGCAAAAAATAAATAAATTCGGCATACAAAATGAATCTCTATAACATAACACAATCACTTTTCCTACAACATAACTCTTATAGAACCCTATATATATATATATATATATATATATAAGTTTTCAAATTTTGCTTTTCTTGAACCTTTGAAATGTCATTCGAGCATAATAAGCGTTATTTCAAGGTTTTTACTTATTTGGAGCGAATCAGTTTTTGGATATTCTCATGATCCTACAAAAAAAAGGAGATTTACAGACATAATCTCAAGTCAAGAGCAGCGTAATAATTATGTATGATAATCTTTAACACAATTTGCAGACATGAATCCTGCATTTTCATGTTCGTGTAGGGAAATACCTGACATGAAAAAAAAATCGTGTATGTTACATGTTATTTATGTCTTAAAAATCATGTCATGTTGCATTGCTATTCATGTCTTATCATATCTTATAAATTCGTATAATAAAGAACATATTTTGAAGTTGAAAAATTATTGATATCATATCAATCTACAAACTAAACAAATCATATCAAAATTTTGATCCATTTTAAAATTTATATCATATTGGTATTAATATTCGTATTATTAAATTTATTTTGAATAAGATCGTATCAGCACTGATTGTCACCACAGTGATGATGATTACCCAGCTCAAAAATATGTGAGGCTCGTGTTACCATTTAAGCCAACTAATTTTTTAAGGATGATAAAACTTTAAAAGAAAGGAAACAATTTTTTAATGGGTAAAATGTGTGTCATTATTTTAAAGAACGTAAAGTTGCGTCATTTTAAGAGAGAGAAAAAGATAAATAAAAGAGGAGAGAGAATTGACCAAAAAAATAAAGATGTGAGTCTCGCTTTCTTTTTGAAAGTGAAATGATATAAGTTATGTCATTTAAAAAAATAAATAATTCTCACTTTTTTTAATTGATATGAAAACTTTTATTCTGTTTCCCATTTCACTTTTTTGCTCACGCTTACACATTTGACTTTGCCTTTCTGTCTTTCATTTGTTTCTGGTTTCGTCGGTTGCTGAGTCCTACTAATCCAGTTGTCACCTACAAACTTATCTCCAACTCTCTTTCATATCTCTCACTTCACTCACAACAACAACTCATAAGTCACAATAAACAACACTTCTTTGTTTTCATTTCACTACATAACTCATTTCCTTCACTATTATTCACTGTAGAAATTGTAAAGAAAAAAAAAAAGAATCCAGCATCAGCATCCAACAACACAACATCAATCATTAACTAGGACTAGACTTCCCCCATGTCTCTCTCAGTCATTGTCCTCTAGATTTACCCAAAATGCAGCCCCAATGGGGTAACTCTCATAACCAAAGCCACAAGCAAAGATGATTTTCTTCAAGTTGCTTTTGAGATGATGTATGGTGTTTGTGTTTTCAGTTTCAATCTGATGCTGAAATCCTAAAAAAAAAAAAAAAAACTTTTTTTTTCTCAGGTAATTACTCTTTGTTTGCCTTGCCTAAATGGGGCCCTGGATCTTGCCACTGAGAATCTAAATTTGATTAAAGAGCATTGATTTCAGTTTCAGGTTTTATTGTTCTCCCAATAATTATCATTAAACCCTGTCCAATTATTGCCTTAGTTGCTACTACTCATGTAAGATTTAATTGTGTGTGTGAGAGAGAAAGAGAGGAATGAAATGTGTTGAGTCTTTTCCCTCTTTGGCTTTCCTTTTTATTTTATTTTTTGCAAGGATTCTTGAGAGAAAAGAGTTGCATTTCAACGGTTGAAACGTTCAAAGCTGCTTTAATACTAGCGCCCCAGGAAAATATTTTTCTTTATTACAGCAAAAACTTGTTTACAAGTTTCCATTTTTAAGACCCTTTTTGAAGAAACCATTGATTTTCTTTTCGGTTATAATCTGTTCAGTATCAATTGTTCATACATGATATATTATTATTATTATTGCATTGGAGTTACATCTCTGAGTCCAAGTTGAGTATCAAGATACACAGGAGAGTTACATTGAGCTGAATTGCTTAAATTTTCCCAAAAAGGCACAAATGGGGCTTGTTCTTCTTCTTCCAAGTCTAGTGATGCTTGTTCTTCTTCTATGCTTTGAATCTCTTCCTCATGTCAGGGCTCAGTCCACTACTACTACTACTACTACTACTGCATCTGGGTCTTCTTCAACAAGGGAAGCAAGGACCTTGGATGCACTTCTCCAACAATATGCTTATAGGGCTTTGGTGAATCCAAAAACAGGTACCATTTACAATGCAACTCAACTTCCTTCTAATTTGACTGGGATTGAGGTTGGGGCATTGAGATTAAGGAGTGGCAGTTTGAGGAGAAAAGGCTTCCAGATGTACAATGAGTTTGGAATTCCCAACGGACTCATTGAGAGTCCATATGTAGAAAGACTGGTTTTGGTGTACCAAAATTTGGGTAATTGGTCCACCATGTATTACCCTTTGCCTGATTATACTTACTTGGCTCCAGTTCTGGGACTACTAGCTTATGATGGTTCAAATTTGTCAGCTACAAATTTATCAGAGCTAGATATAAATACATCTGATGAACCTATATTGGTCAAGTTCCGGGATGTAAAATCAGCTCCTCAAGGTACTATTGCAAAATGTGTTTGGTTTGATTTAAAGGGTTCTTCCAATTTCAGCAATGTAACTGGAGGCAACACATGTTCTTCTTCCCAACAGGGCCATTTCTCTATAGTGGTTAAATCCACTACTCCTCCAGCACCAGCCTCTCCTGCACCTGCTGGTGCTCCAAAAGGGGGAGCAGTACCAAATGCTCCAAGAGAAGGTAAGAAGAAGAGTAAAAGGAAACTGTGGATTATTGTTGGGTCTGTCTTGGGGGGACTAGCATTGCTGGTGGTGTTGTCATTTCTAGTTTTGTGGATGAACAAATACAAACAGAAGAAGAAAATGCAACAGATGGAAAGGGTATCAGAGTTAGGAGAAGCTCTTCAAATGGCCTCTATTGGGGATACAAAAGCACCAGCTGCAACAGTTATGAGAACACAACCAATCCTTGAACATGAGTATGCACCATGACACAATATTTTTTAACAATCTTCAGTTGCCATTCCACTCATATTCATGTCAATTTACTGTATTCAGATATTCTTCTAATCACACCTCTCTTTTTTTTTTTCTGGTGCCACTTCCCCAGTTTGTTTGCTTAGGCTCTTTGGTGTATACTGGTCTTAACATAGGATTTTTGTGTAAATCTGTTATCTTTATCTGATTCATTGTGGTGTGAATTTAGCAGCCAAAAGTGATGATTCTGTGATGAGTTCAGTTGTTCCATTGACAAAGAATAAACATGTAGCATCTACTTCTTGAGTTATTTAACTTATTTTTACTATCCTTTTCACGTGTTTGAAAGTTGATAGCTTGGTATAAATGTTGTGGGCACACAGTGCTTATTCGCTCAGCCACCAGTTCCCATCATTCCTGTTTATTCATTTAAGTGAGTGGGAGACCCAAGATCTCGATGTCTTAAACATGTTCCTCAGAAGCACACTTGGAACTTTAATGTGCACTCTTCTGTCCAAGCCTCTCTGGTCACTGCTTTTGCTGTAATAGCCTTGCTAATAAATGGACTTGAGTATAAGGTGCAATGTTTGTAGTTAATTATGTATGATACATCAAACAAAACATGGAATGGAAAAGCTTAAAAAATTGATCAAAAAGAAGCAAATGGCTTAGAATTGAAGTAATGATATAAAGATTCAAGTAGCATCTGCTGATCACTGCTTATTAAACTTGATGTCTTGCAATTTGTTTCCAAACAGACAAGTGGGGAAAGTGGCTAAACATAGCAAATAAATAAATATCAATACCTGCTGCTGAGTGCTGGCATTTTAGTGGTCACATACACCCCAAAAAGGACAATGTAATGCTGGCAACCAAATAAGGACAGAAAGTAAATCTTCATAATTTTGACTGCAATAACTTCTTTCCCTCCGTAGTTAAAAATGAGATTTTACATAAAAACAAAAGGAAGATAAAAAATTGTAAAAACGTAAAAATGTTTGGAATATTGGTAAAAACGTTTTGATAAAAAAAAATCATAAAAACGTAATGATAAATCAAGATTTTAATTATCATGCTCCCAACTCCAAAAGAAAAAGAAAAAATACTCCTTATTTTCAAAATGACATTTTATTATCCAAAGACTGAAGACAGCACATGTCAAGGAATACAATCTTTTGCCGTGGCTTTTAGCTGTGAAGCCATCCAAATCCAAAACCAAATGCCAAACCACATTTAATAGTACTCTTTTTCTTTCTCAGTTAAAGTGCCATGTTCTATATCTCTTCCTTACCACTTGAACAACACTGAGAAATATATTATATAATATGTTGAATTGTTTCTACACATACCCTGAAGTGACCAAGGCTGCAAAAAGGCATATGAATATAAAACATGTAGTTTACATCTTAATCTTGTAGTTCTGCAAAGCTCCATTCCTTTTAAAAATATAACTCAGCCACTATTTCATCATTTGTATGAGTCAACCACTGAATCCCTATATAATAAACAACCAAACCAAACACAGAAGAGAAATGCTTCTAGCTGCCACTATTTCATTATTTGTATGAGTCAACCACTCAATCTCTATATAATAAACAACCAAACCAAACAAAGAAGAGAAATGCTTCTATTTGTACGGATGAGATCAGATGACTGATGAAGGAAGATATCACTTTCACAGCTCAGCACCACCAACACATAACTATCAGATTGAGTCATTGAAAACTCAATAATTTCTGTCTTCTAGTTGGAATATATACAAACTTCTATTCTGAAATTCTTATTTCACTCCATTCTTTGATGCTTGAGTTTTGAGGCTGCAACTCCACTATGATGCTCAAATTGAAGACTCAGAGACTTCACCTGAGGCATGCATATAATGGAACAGCACACAAAAGCAATATCAATCAAATACTTGAATATTTTTTAAAATATGTGTGGTGTCTGTGTGTGTTCTCTTCCATAATTTATTCCTATCATTCAATAAATTACTCCAGATACAGTACAAATAGTTTCTTTTTAAATTTTTTGTTTTTCATTTTGCAAATCCTTTCCTTCTTTTGTATCTTCTTGTTGGACTTCCTCCTTCAATGCTAAGTCCAAGCCCATTGAGGGGTTTCCTAAAACCCTAAACTCTAGTTTCCACCTTCTCTATATATTCATTAGTTGTGGGTAAAGGCTAGGTTAGAAGATTATTGAGAGACTTTTAAGTGACACTTGAGAGATTTGTGAGTAAAGCTTTGAGCTTTGCATTTGAGAGCACCTCTAGAGAGAATTTGAGTGAAACATCTCTAGGGAAGTATGATTCTCACCATTGTTGGAGAGGTTGAGTGAACCACCACTTTGGTAAAAGTTGATTCTTTGTACCCATTATTATCATAGTGGACGTTTGAACTAGACTAGGTCCTATGAATTTTTACTTCTTCATTGGAGAAGGTTTTCCCACGTTAAAATCTGTTTATGTTCTCTTTCTTTCTTTCTTTCTCTCTCCTTTGTGTTTTTTTTTTGTTTTTCCGCTGCGCTGACCGACCTGGTGAAGTTAAGGGAAAGGCTTTTGAGCCGAGTTGAGGGAACCGAGTTCCCAACAGTGGTATCAGAGCCCGGGTTCGACGGGTTTTGAGGGAGACAAGATGGAGACCAATGGCATAACCCATGACGAAGATATGTTCAAGCTAACCGCAGATAATTTCAATTATTGGAAACCGATGATGGAAGATCATCTCTAGTGCAAAGATTTACATGAGCCTATTATCCTTGATGAGAGACCGGCAGGCAAAACCGATAAGGAATGGGAGATCCTAAGTCGTAAGGAGGTAGCTATAATCAGGAAATACATAGACAAAAGTCTCTTTGAGCACGTGTCCGAGTTCATGAACGCGTACATGATTCAGAAGAAGACTCTCAAGAATAAAGCACACCTAGTTCGCCGACTTGTGAAACTCGAATACAAGGACTACATGAGCATGATTGAACACCTTAATATCTACAAAGGTATTGTTAATCAGATGTTAAAAGTCGAGATGAAAATTGATGACGAGATGCAGGCTTTGCTGCTGTTGAGCTCGCTGCCAGAAAGCTGGGATACTCTGGTGATGACTTTGAGTAATTCGGCTCTATAAGGAAAATTGAAGATGAATGTCGTAACAGATAGTCTCCTGAACGAAGAAGCCAAGAGAAGAGAACGAGGTGTTTCTAGCACGTCTGAGGCCAATATTGCTGAGAACAGAGGAAAATCTGCCTTCTGAGGTAGAAGTAAGAGCCGAGGTCGAGATCGTGACAGACGAAAAAGTTCAAAGGCCGATCAAAGCCGAAATATGAGTTGAAGTGCTTCTATTGTGGGAAGCCAGGGCATAAGAAGCCAGACTGCAGGAGTCTGCAGAATGATGAGAAGAATGACTCTGTGAAGCCGGATCAGATTATTCCCAAGAAGAAGGAAGACAAGAGTACCACTGTGGTGGCTGCCAACACAGATACCGAGATATTTCTCCTTGGAGAAGACAATTATTTGAATGTTGCATATGATGACTGCACCTGGATTATTGACTCCGGTGCCTCCTTCCATGTTACTCCACACAAAGATTTTTTCTCCTCTTATCAAGGTGGTGATTTTGGAGTATTGAAGATGAGAAATCAGGTGACCAGCAAGATTGTTGGTGTTGGTGATGTGACCCTGACAACGGATGTTGGATGCCGATTTGTGTTGAAAGATGTAAGGCATGTTCTTCACATGTGACTGGACCTACTCTCGATAGGCAAGCTTGATGATGCCGGGTTAATGAATTACTTCGGTAGTGGTAGATGGAAGTTGGCCAAGAGAAACTTGGTTGTTGCCCTAGGTAAGAAAAAAGGCACTATGTACGTGATGCAAGGAAAGATAAATGGTGGAGAAGCCAATTCTGTCCGAAATAGACCTAGCTTGGCGCTATGGCACATGCGCCTCGGCCATATGAGCGTGAAAGGGCTCCAAATTCTAAACAAGAAAGGATTACTGACAGGGTTGAAAGGCCAAGCGCTGGAGAGTTGCACGTAGGGGTGTAAATGGGCCAGGCTGGCCTGGCCTATAGCCCGACCTATGTTGAGCCTGGCCTTTCTGGAAAGTATAGTAGGCTAAGTCTTATAAGAAAACCCTTTTAACAAATAGGCCAACTTTGTCAAGCCTGGCCTAAAGCCTTGTAAGCTGGCCTATTTAATTTTTTAAAATAAAATAATATATTTATTCTAGGTGGGAAAGTACCAACCCTAATTTCTTTTGTGCACCGCCGCTTCTGACTTCTCACTCTCGTCTCTAAGTTTCGTCTTTGGTATATCCAGTAATTGTATTTCTTTCTTATTCTCCCTATTTCTTGACTCTAATTCCCCTCTGATATACATTATAGAGCTGAGGTATAATGTTGACTCTTGTTTGTCATTTTTTATTTCTTATGAAAACTATTAGTGCATATATGAATGGAACTTTCTTTGCTCTATACAATTATTTTCTTTGCTTAGTATTTGGAGTTGGAGGCCTACAAGGCCTGTAGGCCATATCAGGCTTTTTAATTTTTCAAAATAGGCCTGGCCTATAAAACAAAGCCTTTAATAGGCCAATAGGCCAGATAGGCTGAATTTTTTTTTTTACGTAGGCTTAGGCCAAGAAGGCCAAAGCCCGTCCTAGCCTGGCCCATTTACACCCCTAGTTGCACGCATTGCCTAGCTGGAAAGCAGCATCGGGTTTCTTTTGTGAAACCGGACCAACCCAGAAGACGCAGGTATATTATTGACCTCGTCCATACTGATGCCTGCACCATGTCGGAGAGATCCCTTGGAGGAGCTCAATACTTTGTTTCATTCATTGATGACCACTCCCGCAAATTGTGGGTTTATTTGTTGAAGTCTAAAAACAAGGTACTCCAATCCTTTAAAGAATTTTATGCTATGGTGGAAAGGGAGACTGGAAAGAAATTGAAGGTGGTTCGATCTGATAATGGTGGTGAGTATTGCGGCCCTTTTGATGTATATTGCAGAGCGGCCGGGATTCGACTTGAGAAGACGCCCCCAAGACACCCCAGGTGAACGAACTTGCTGAAAGAATGAACTGGACTATTAAAGAGAATGTCCGAAGTATGTTATCCAATGTCGGATTGCC